GGGCCAAACATAACGTACCTTGCAGGCCGTATCTGGACTAATGACCACAGTTGTTAACCTCACATCTGGGCCACTGACTCTTCAGGCAATTAGGTTCAAAAGGAATGTCTTGCTTCTGGCTTATATACATGGCCAGGGGGGAAACCAGTCTCAGGCAATCAACTGGGAAACTATCTGGAATGAAATTACTTCCCTTATGTCCACATTCTTCACCAACTTGGTATTAGAAGAAAACCATTTTTAAAGCATGACACCCGCTTGGTCCATCATTCTTCTAAAGAGCAGACAACACTTATTTAAACTTCAATAATGTGTAAATTCTGCTTTTTAGACGAGGCTACTTGCAAAAGGGTCTTCTGTAAGCTAGCCTTACAAAGAAGCTGAATGGTGTCGAGACCTCGTGTTGAGATTCTGCTAAACAGCAGGGAAGATGAAGACGCCAGTAAGGGGAAATTTAAGCTCGCGCTTGGGTCAGCCTGGATGAGGCCACTTTTTTGACCTTCACTGAACTAGAAAAGATGTGTTATCAACAAGTGAGAGTCAGCAGACTGGTTCTCAAGGGGAATTCTCTCAGAGGGTCTCTGAGCAGTTACAGAGAGAAGACAGGGTGAAGCTCAGGTCCCCTGGAATGGCTTCCCCTTTTGGACACAGAGCTGCCTAGCTTTGAGGTCTGAGAAGTGACGGGTCCTGAAACCTGTTGATCTTCACCTGTTTTCTCAGGAGACGGGCAAAGTGTTTACTGGAGCCTCCTTGACCAACATCATCTGCAACAAAATCTTCAGAGACATTTTCTCAGCCAGACACACTCTCAGCATGTTTTGTTTTGTTTTGACTGTGGTAAAATACACAAAATGTTACCATCTTAACCACTTTTTTTTTTTTAATTTTTTTTTCAACGTTTTTTATTTATTTTGGGACAGAGAGAGACAGAGCATGAACGGGGGAGGGGCAGAGAGAGAGGGAGACACAGAATCAGAAACAGGGTCCAGGCTCTGAGCCATCAGCCCAGAGCCCGACGTGGGGCTCGAACTCACGGACCGCGAGATCGTGACCTGGCTGAAGTCGGACGCTTAACCGACTGCGCCACCCAGGCGCCCCTTAACCACTTTTAAGTGTGCGGCTCAGGGGCATGAAGTGCAGTCACACTGTTGTAGAACCATCACCAGCATCCGTCTCCAGAACCTTGTCATCTCCAACTGCAACTCAGCACCTCGTAAACAACGGACTCCCCACGCTCCCCTCCCCCCGACGCTGGCACCTCGCTTCTACTTTCTGTCTCTCTGAATCAGACAACTCTGGATACACGTAAGTGGAACTCTACAGTATTTGTCCTTTTGTGTCTGGCTTACTTCACTTAGCATAAGGTCCTGAAGGTTTGTCCATGTTGTAGCATGTGTCAGAATTTCCTTCCTTTTTAGGGCTGAATATTATTCTATTTTGTGTGTATCTACAGACACATAGCCTGAATTTTGTTTATCCGTTCAACAGCTAATGGACATCTGAGTTGTTTCAGATGGGCTACTTGGGCTATTATCAAGAATGCTGCTATCAGGACTGGGTTGGGTTTTCCCCCCCGCCCCCCACTATAATTTTTTATTGAGACATCATCGACATGTACCATTACATTAGTTTCAGGTACACAACATAATGATTTGATATCTCAGCATAATATTTAAATAGAGTTTTTTTAACCCTTTGACTGCTATGTTCATTAACATCACTCATTTCTCAACAATTGAAGAAATGCACTTATTCAGCCCAAGGATTGTGCAGAGAAGGGTCTGAATTCTCATCTCGGATCAGAAGAACAATCAAAGGGTTAATGGGGGGGGGGGATCTTTCATGAGGTCTCTCTTTCAGGTGGCAGCTGACAGGCACACAAATCTAAAGCATCTCACTTATTTCTCCAAACACGATCGCCCCTTACCAGGCCCGGCATGTGAATGTGTCTTCAGTTGAAGGTTTCAGATTCTCCTGTCAAAACAATTCATCTGTCAGCAGGACAGATGCTGTCAAAAGCATTTCTGCACCTTTCAGTAGCAAAGAGGACTGGAAAGAAACCTCAGGGAATTTAGTTACTGCCAATTGCAGCTTTCACTAAACATTTTGTCAGCCATTGTCATAACAGAAATGTTCCCTGTTCTGGTACAAAGGGTGCGCAGATCTACCAACAATTGAGCCGAGCCATAGATATTCTTCAGCTAATCCGCTGAAAGATGACCGTCCGGCCCACCGTCTGGAGAACACACAAGAGGCACCTCTGCAAAGAACAGCTCAAGTTGTAGCCCGGTTTTATCTGGGTCTGAGAAGCAAACTGTTTTAACAGTGCCCGGCAACAATCTGCTTGATGAACATTTCTCCTGACAAAGGACCCCCACCCCCCGACCCCACTGATTTAGAAGCACTAAGTCTTTAAACAGCTGAGCAATCCCCACCATTATGGAAACCTGTGCAGTCCAGTTCGGGAGCCACTAGCCACGCGGCTACTGACATTTACACTGAAAGTGATTAAGAGCACACAAAATGAAGAATTCAGTTACTCAGTCACGCTACCTATACTCCAAGTGTGCAGCCACCACGTATGGCTACTGGCTACTGAAAGGGCACAATGCAGACAGAGGGCATTTCCATCAAGGCTGAGATTTCCGTTAAACTGTGATGCAATGAAATCATGGCAGGAATTAATGCATATTTCAAGTGAACTGGCACTGACAGAAGAAACTTGGATTTCAAAAATAAATTTGGGGGCGCCTGGGTGGCGCAGTCGGTTAAGCGTCCGGCTTCAGCCAGGTCACGATCTCGCGGTCCGTGAGTTCGAGCCCCGCGTCAGGCTCTGGGCTGATGGCTCAGAGCCTGGAGCCTGTTTCCGATTCTATGTCTCCCTCTCTCTGCCCCTCCCCTGTTCATGCTCTGTCTCTCTCTGTCCCAAAAATAAATAAATGTTGAAAAAAAAAAATTAAAAAAAAAAATAAATTTGAATTTCCCAATAATTCAAGAGCTTGGGTGGGGCGGGGAAGGGGGCAGTGCGCCTGGGTGGTTCATTCAGTTAAGCATCTGACTCTTGATCTCAGCTCAGGTCTTAATCCTGATCAAGGTCATGAGTTCAAGTCTCGTGTTGGGCTTTGCATGGGGTTCCGTGTTGGGCACAAAGCCGACGTTAAAAAAAAAATTGCAGTGGGGGGATGGACACGGATGTTAGCAGACACCTTTTGGGCACACCAAGTTCTTAACCATCCCAACAGAGGACAGGGCCTTTGAAAATTCAATTCACAAGGAAGACACTCTTAATAAAAATACCCCTTGAGTGTAATTCTATAGGCTTAATCAGTATTTACATAATCTGGCCAGCATCTTCCTGGATTACAACCAGAACCACGTATTACAAACGTGGCAAACCCTATTCAAAGCTGGAGAACAATAATTCATTGACTTGTTGGAAGTTGAGCGATTACAAGTTCCGTTTGCTTGTGAAGGAGCCATGGTGAGACCTGAGCCCAACGACATTGCTAGCACTTCATGGTCAAATATAGGCGCTGCTCACCGGCCACTGACAACACACACACACAACCTCCAACTCGGAAGGGCAGCACAGCCAGCGCACGGCTGTATTCTTCAACATTAAGGCGAGTCGTAACTCACAGTAGAAGGAACTGGTCCTAAATCTGGGACAAGCACTCCCTGGGGAGTGAGGTTTTCCTGTTCAGTTTGGTTGTCAGGCCAGCCTATTTGCCATTACTCAACCCCGTTTGGCCTCCTGAACGTCGCGGTACTTTGCGTATTTTGAGCCTTCAGATGTTTGCTAAACCAAATAACAGCCTGGAAGACAAGTGTGAAGCGATCCAATGAGCTATCTAAGGGCGCACCGCGGGGGCGCCCAGGACTCACCTGGAAACCCCTTGTTTGTCCGGAAACCTGGGCCCCAGTGGTACATCTCTGCTCACCTCAAAAACTGCACTGCTTGCTACCTATTAGTCACCTGGGGCGCCTGGGTGGCTCATTCAGTTAAGCGGCCAGCTCTGGATTTCAGTTCGGGTCATGATCTCCTGGCTCGTGGGTTCGAGCCCCATGTCGGGCTCCTTCCTGACAGTGCGTAGCCTGCTTGTGATTCTCGCCCTCCCTCCCTCTGCCCTTCCCCCACTGGTGTTCACACTCTCTTTCAAAATAAAAAAATAAACTTAAAAAAAAAATAAGCGAGAGAGTCTCCTACTTAGAACTCCCTGGGAAAAACTGATGGGTCCTTTCAAATTTCAAGGGGTGTGAGTGAGGAAGAACATACAACTTGTGAAAGTTACTTAATCCCTTAAGCTTTTAAGGCCATGTCTGCTGCATTTTTACCTTCTGAGAAATTCCGTGTGGTACACATCAAGTTCCAATGAGATCACATTATGTTCCCTAGACCCACGTTATAAGGTTTTATGAGACTAAGTGATTTCTTTTTCAATCTGCAATGTTGAATGCTCATTCTATCTTTTTTTCTGTTATGATGCTTCCAAAAGCCACAAGTGAATAGGCTGATTATATGCATTAAAGGCTTATACTGAGAATAATAATTAAAATTGCATCTCAAATTAGAATTTTTTCCTCTGGCATCCTCACCCAAGAATTGTCTCTCTTCAGTAAGCTAAGTAGCCCCATAGTCCCTAAACTGAGGCCTGGAAAAAGAAACACATTCTGCACACAATCAAATGCACTATCATTCAGCTATCAACTCACTACATATGCTCATTTTGGTTTTTTGGTTTTTTTTTTTTTTTAATGTTTATGTTTAAGAGAGACAGACAGAGCACGAGTGGGGGAGGGGCAGAGAGAGAGGGAGACACAGGATTGGAAGCAGGCTCCAGGCTCTGAGCTGTCAGCACAGAGCCTGACGTGGGGCTTGATCTCATGAACCATGAGATCATGACCTGAGCTGAAGCCAGACATTTAACCAACTGAGCCACCCAGGTGCCCCGACATATGCTCGTTTTGTAAGCTTTTGGTCAAGAATGAATCAGTAATGAATCACTTCAATTTCTGAAAATGTTACACTGATAATTCTCTATGCACATGAGGCTTGCACGCAACTGAAGAGATAATACACTCTAGCCACATAAGGACCCCGCAATGAGTGACTGCTTTTACTCCTTAAAATCAGCAACAGAAACCAGTGTGAACCTCTGAATTCTAATGCTTAAGACATTACCTGAGAGAAGTCACCTCTGCCTGCTTCTGTTATCCCACAGGACTTATGTGACCTTCTGTATCTTAAAGGTCCATACATCTTACCCATGGATAATTCGAATACAGGTCTAAGTCTTGGTCCTGTAGCACCCAACAGATGTCAAGTTCAACAAGTATTCACTGAATGTCTGTGTATAATGTATACTGCACTGTGCTAAGTTCTGATACCAATTGGGATAAGATCTAGTTCGTGACCTTATGGAATTTACAGCCGAGGGGTCAGATGAGACTGTGAACCAAATAATTACGGCCAAAGGCTCTAATATGACAAGCATCTTGGGAATGATGCCAATTGGTGGCTCTTGGGCCAAGGCAGATCTGCAGGGAAATTTGTTGGTTTCTGACTGAACGGTATTTGGAGAAAAAGTTTCATCAAAAAAATTACAATGGCAGTTTCTCTTGAAAATAATTACTGGGCCAGCATGCCTGATAGCTATCAGCTACATTTATTTTGCAGGTACTCCAAATGACCACAGACCTCACCACTCTTATTGTCTCACCCAAGACCTCTTGACTCATTTACACTATCTGCCTGTTCCCAGGGGGAGTAATGTCATCTTCGGTATGGATACCACCGGGTCCAGATGGTGCTCAAAGCAGGGAAGATCAGCTGTGAGGAGGAAGGTTAATCAGGAAATGCAAGGCCTTAACGAACCCTGGAAGAAGACTAGAAAAGGAGCATGGTTTTTGAGGAAGAATACTGGGAAATAAGGCCCGCAAAGTAAAGTAAGCTGTGGTAAGTATGAAACTAGATGAACAAAAGGCCAAAAAGGCAGAACCTCCTAGAAAGGAGAAGGGCAAAACGTGAACAGTTTCAGGGCAAAGTAGCGAAAAGTAGCCCATGTCGTCGGATCACAACCCACCAGTTATGTCAAGGGTTACATAAACCTAAACAAAGCCCAGAGCCAGGCCCCTCGTGACCATTAATCTACAGGGCCATTTAAAGTTGATTTCCAGAGTAGCTGCTCACCTACTCAAAAGTTTTGATCAAAAGAATCAAGAGCCCCACCTCCTCTGAAAGTAATCAGCATGAGCTTTCTATAACATCCCTTAAAGCAGCAGATCTGAGGATCTATTTCTCCTACCCAAATCTTGGTTTGGCTGAAGAGACAAAATAATTGAGTCTATTTCGTCTCATGCTTGGTTGTGGCAGTGGTCCTGGAGGGGAAGCCCACAAACAGCCCATAACGCTCTCTTGGTACATTTGGTATGTGCATCATTAATCCCTAAAGATTAATTAATTTAATTAAGAGGAGGTACTCTGGCGTCACCAGCTCTGCAGTTGGTGGGTATTTCACAAACAAAGGGAATTTGAGCAGGAAATAGCTGCTGGCCACAGGCTGACCCTCCCACAAACCCATCACGTAGGGAACGCCACCCATGACCACCCCAGCAGGGAAGAGGTGGCTACAGCCACCATTTGGTTTTGCTATTACAGAAGTGGCTTTGCAGAGACTTGGAAATGGGGAGGCGAGGAGAGAGGTCGAGAGTCTGGTCACCTACTTTATATTTTATCGTCTCTGAAAAGGGGTCACAAATTTGCCCTCTCAGAGAGTCCTTCAGCTCTACAGGACTTTCCACACTCATCGCGCCCACGATAGGACCGGTGCACCCTTGCCTCATCAATCTCTTGTCCAACGTGGCCCTCATGTCCTGAGGCACCAGGCGGTCCAGTGCGAGCAGTAGGCTCATCAATCAGGAACCAGAGGAGAAGGAAATGAAGCCAGAGCCGTAGTCACCTCTGGCAGCACACTTAGGGGCCGGAGCTCACGCAGTGAAAGGACGGAGGGGGGCTCTCCTCAATGAAAACCTTGCTCTACTGAAGCAGGAAACAGAGACTTTTGCTTCTGTACAGTTAAAACAAGTCCGTCAAAGGGACAGGAAGTGAGGGACACATGAATCTAGGGGATAAATGGGGACTCCTTGCTTCACCAAGCGCTCTGTGAAGTCGACCAGTGCCCTCTGGTCATGGATTATGGTTTTCCTTTCCTAACACCTCCACCTGAAGCCCTCGGCTCTGACACACATCTGCAGGAAGATTAGCTTCCTGTAGAACCACCAGTGCAAAATGTAAGGTGTTTACTAAAAGCATGACGCGGCTTTAAAATTCATGAACTTTGGTTTCACATACGAAAGATGCAAACTAGCCATGTCCTATAAACCCTCCTTCGATTGAATGCGTCACGCAACAGAATTGTGTAAACGTTGGCCCAACCACCAACTCTAAGTGACACTGTGATCGATTTCCTTTCCCAACACACTGAAATGATCCTCCACTTAACACTGAGTGATTTCACACACTTCGTGCCCTCACTCAAGGGCTCTCGGAGAGGAAAATAACTGTTTTAACACAGCCCCATAAAATAGCACTCTTGGTCACAAGAACAGGGTGGTCAAATTCCAAGCCTGTCTTCCTGGCAGAAGGTACGGCCGAGGATTTCACCGGGATAAAGGGATCAGGAAATTCTATACCAGTGACTCTGGATTCTTCAGAAATGAAACCTCTAATACTCCAATAGCATATTACTTCCCGAGCACTACAGACACACATTAAAACATTCAAAACAAACAAAAAAACTCCTTCCCTCCATCTGAGTCATTACACACCCTCTCAACCGTCTTGTTTAGGAGTTTCCCAGAACCAGGAAAGTGTCGAGGCATTTGGTGGCTTTCTGAACCCCCATTTCTGACAACGTACTCTCTAACATGAAGCCAGTCAATGAAATTAATAGTACACAAACCTCATGTTACAGAAGCACATGCCAAAAATAAAAAATAAAACTGCAGTAACTCACCTCTGGACATGTAATGACCCGGGTTTGTTGTTGTTAACGAGAGTACAGTTGATCACGGAACAACAAGGATTTGAACTGTGTCGATCCACTTATACACAGATTTTTTTTGCAGATCTTATACACAGATTTCCCCTTCCTTATGATTTTCCTCATAACATTTTCTTTTCTCTAGTTGACTTTATCGTAAAAATAGGGTACGTGATACACACATAATACACAAAATATGTGTTCATCAACTGTTTATGTGATCGGTAAGGGTTCTGGTCAACAGTCAGCTATTAGTAGTTAAGTTTTGGGGGAGTCAAAAATGATACACAGATTTTTCAACTGTGCGGTCGCGGTGGGGGAGGTGGTACCCCTTACCCCCTCCTCCACTGTTCAAGGGTCAACCGTATTTAGAAGGGCGATTTTAGGCAAATATACTTTGGGGTTACAAAAGAGCAATATATAGTAAGTTGCCTAACTGTCTCCCTGAAAGCAGAGGAGAAAGGAAATGAAAGCTTTCTGTTTGAAGCAAATACATCTGTCCAAACAACAGCTTACCTTACTGTTATCAGCATCTCCCTCCTCCCCTGCCCACACACACAGAAAACTTAAGAGACAAATGACATAAGCGAGTGTAACTACCTTCCCAGGCTAGAGCTACTCATAAGGAAAATCCTTCTGGGAAGCAAGACCTTCCCAAGGGTATGCACTGGAGTCCTCAATCAGCTTCCCCTGGGATGGGCGTGCATGTTTCATTTTTCCGACTGAAATCACACCCACTCCTTACTAACGTCTGACATCTCTTCAGGCCTGTGTGAAGCCAGAGCACCCAAAATCTATAAACCAAATAAGAAATCTAGGGGTACTTGTACTTATCACGACACTCAACATTATCCACAGGTTAAGTGCAAAGTTCCTTCAAATATTACCAATGCAATATCCTCTAAGCTTTCAACATCATCTTCTAGATTTCAAATATTCAGAAGTTACCTTCTGGGTTCATCCTCCCTTCCTTTCCCAGCTACCTCAAAACTTAAAAATGAAGATCCGGGGCACCTGGGTGGCTCAGTCGGTCGGGCGGCCGACTTCGGCTCAGGTCACGATCTCGCGGTCCGTGAGTTCGAGCCCCGCGTCGGGCTCTGGGCTGACAGCTCGGAGCCTGGAGCCTGTTTCAGATTCTGTGTCTCCCTCTGTCTCTGACCCTCCCCCGTTCATGCTCTGTCTCTCTCTGTCTCAAAAATAAATAAACGTTAAAAAAAAAAAAATGAAGATCCCTCAGATACAGAGAACAGATCCCTGGTATTAAGTCAGCCAAAGTCAAAAACTCAATTTACCCACAACTTTTCAAGAATACATCCCGTTGTATTACAGGGAGGCATGAGAGTGTCTCTAGCTAAGTATTTTAAAGAAAATGCAGTTTTAATAGGTCAGCCTTGTGAGTAACAGTTAAGTCGCTGACTTTATTAGCCAGCTTATCAACTTGGGCTCTCATTCTGTCAATTTTTCCGTTGGGCTTTTTAAAGTTTATGTGTGTCATGAAATGCCTGGCCGAAGCCAAAAGGCAAAGTTTTTCTTTCAACGATACAAAGATGTCATGAAACGCAGTAAACTTAAAAGCCCATCTACACGGTTTTCCTGGGGCTGCGAAAATTTCTCTGGCCCTGGTTGCTGAATGGCTGAGAAGACACAAGGTCAAAGTGCAACAACCACACAGTATTGCAACATGCATTATCTTACACAGACTGCTTTCTGCTAATAAAATACGGCACTTCCTTTTCACTGAAATTACAAGCACAAAGAATCAGATGCATGGGACTTCCATCCTTGAACATATAAAAGTTTTACTGTGGCAAATGGCAAGCTGGCTGTGAAAATGACGGAGTCATAATATGCTTCCATTTCTGCTGCTTTTTTAAAATCATTCACCAAGGCCTCTAAAAAGACGCCTCACCTCTTCCACATGGGCCAGTTACATTCAGTGAGGCCCAGTGCATCATCACACGCAGAGGCCCTCATGTAGGTGCCCTTCTCCCCTCCTCCCTGTCCCAGGCCAGTCTGCAGTTCCAGGTCACTGACTTCCAAAGGTGTGTCTTAAAGGGTGGGTCCTAACGGTAAATTCCGCTTGCTAAGCTATACATTAACCAAATAACAAATACTGGCACCTATGGGATGGGAGTCTGTTTTTCAAGTAAATCACCACCAAAGTTGATGAAAGCCCTACCGGTAACCAACCGTAAGGGACTCCCTTTGGAGCCCCAGGTTCAGGCTGGGGAAACCTCAGTAACACCAGGTGTGGACATTCCGTGTGGATACTCTGTATCGTCTCCGTGTGCTGGGGAGAAGTAAGAGCCATTCAATTCCCACCTCAGCAGGACATCAAGGCCCACAGGCCCCACCAAACCCAGACAGCAGCCACCTAAGGCAGCTGCCCTATGACCAGCTGGGACATCTTTGAGTTACAACGCTGGTTATCCAATGAACCCACAGGCAGCCCCCACCCCTGCTTCCACAATCACTCCTTTTTAAAGATGATATAATCAAAGCGGACTTGGTTACAAGTATCTGTTCAGCTTCCCTTAGTCAAATAACTACAGCTCGGCCTCCTTCTAATAAGCTCACTACCTTTCCTCAACGGGTAGGGGGAATCTCAGAGGAGGGGTTGAGGCTCCCTGCATAGGGCACACTAACAAAACTGGCATCGCTATGCCTCTTCGGTTAGAGGGCAGTCTGGTTCCGTGCCACGAGACACAGGAGATCAAATAAAGGATGGCTGGAGGTGTGGCACAGTCGGCTCTGTAAGGCACGGAGCTTCGATGGCCAACCTGTCTTCCAGCTAAGACTCCTCCAGACGACTCCCTTCTCCTCACAACCCCCCGCCCTGCCCCCCTGCACCCCTTCTAAAAGACCCTCCGGGCCCAGGTCTGCCCCACATGGCCACACAAGCATGACTCTGCAAAACTGCGCTGGCAACTTCCTTTGCCTGCCGCGCACTCGATGGGGATCGATAAACCAGAGCGGGTTTGGATTCGGTTAGATTTAAGCTTGCACAAGCACAAAGAGAAAACCACCCACTCTCAAACCCAGAGAGCTACTGCAGAAAGCACCTGCACAAACCTGTCAGGGTGGTTTATAAGGTCACAAGCGCCTCAGAAAAGATCTTTTATTCTTAGGGCCATGAGACCAATGGTTGGCCTGCCACACTGCTGGTGTCAATATTTATCTAAGGCCTAGGTATTCATGATGGTATAAACCAGGCACTTTTTCAACTTATTCATTCACGTAATTTACTACAAAGCCCCAAAACAGAGATGCATTTACAGCTTGAATTTCTTTTCTTCCATTTCCATACAAGGAGGCTGGCTGCGGGGGCCCATGGTCTATGTCAGCAGAATCCCGGCAGTTTGAGAATAAGTATTCTCAATGTATTTGAGAACTGCCCGTATCAAATGTCATTGCACCTGAGGACAATAAAGAGAGGGAAAAGGGAAACAAAGCGCCAGCTCTGTCCCCTCCCTTGGCATGCATGTTTTCTGCACTGCAAATGAGCAAAGCCTAGGCCTTGAAGTAACCAAACCCCTAGAACCACACCCAGGCATTTCTAAGTGTGACTTACACTGCAGGCTTAATCCAGCAACCAATATCCAAAGGTATGTAATGCTCAAAGGAAGACATGTGCTATTTATTCAACAGCCCTGTCTGGTCAGTTCCAATCTCCCTCCTCTTCAATCCTTTATGGAGTCTTGTTCCCTTCACCTGCAAATAAAGGTCTATATACAATGCCCCTTGCTAGGTAAAAGTCAGAAGGGATAACTAGTTTTACTAATGTGACCTTCAGAACTCTGAAAATAGCTGTGCATTGTAGAAACGAGGTTCACACGTGGGTTCCTCCAATCTCTCCCCCGTCAAAGTCCTCAAATCTCCTCTCTGCCATGGATGCTAATTGAAGCTCCCTCCATCAGCTATGCTGGCTTCTTCCAAGGAGATGCACTGCTGTGCTCCCATGGCAGGAGCGACGGTGGGGGGGGGGGGGGGGCGACTTCAGGTTTTCACGCCAAGGAAACTGAGGCACGGGACAAAGATGGCTCTCTCTCCAGAGAAAAATTAAAGAACCTGAAAGCTCTCTTGCAAAGCAGCTGGGAAGTGACAGACTTCTGAGGCCAGCTACCTGTGATGCACTAAATCTACTTTTCTGATACAATATACACAATTCTTCCCAAGTAGACAGGTATCCCTACCAACCCCCTCACCAGGACTCTGTATACTCCGTGTAGCCCAATAAAGATGATCATACTGATAGCTGCCAACAGGTTGCAAATCACTTCAGTTCCTTCCTAAGCAAAACTACGATGGCAAGTGATGAGCTATGATATATGATCCACGTGTGGCCTGTGAGGGGCCAACATTCCTACCTCTGCTTTAAATATGCCTGTGGAGTGAAAGCAGGCAAGCACGGAGCCCAAAATGGTAGCAGCTGAGGGTGTGGTCAGTTTTATTTTTTTCTTACATAAAAATATACACGACACTTAAGCAGCCAGTATTTCCTCACATACACTTAAGTTAATAATTCACAAACCAACTGACATTCATCAAGGATCAGAAAACTTAAAGGTGGTTTGTGCAAACACTCATGTTCCTGCTCTTACTTAACAGCTGGTTTCTTCAACTGATGGCTTCTGTTGCCCTTAGGGGCAGGTAGTACCTCAAAATGTTATTTGTGAAGGCAGTTATACACGACCCAGGTCAATCAGCTTCTGAGTTTCACAGTATCTAAACTCCAGTAATCACTTCCCCCTCAGAGGGAACAGGTAGACAGTGATAGTAAGGCAAAGAGAGAGGACCCACTTTGCTGGTAACACTTTAGTGGAATCATGCTCCCTCATTTCTAATCTGGTCCCTCCTAATGGACGATCCCCAAAGATGCCAAAACAATGCTGGAGCAGTAGATATGGATGGAATAGCGCTCATCTTAGAGGAAGGCTCTAGATCTCAGACCAGACGTCCTTTTCTACATAAGGCATGCCTCTCTGCCTCAGCTGCCCTCTAAAACCGAGGGCCTGATTCCCTCTGCCCTCAGACCTTATGCTCCCCACCTCTCTTTCTTTTCTCTTTTTTCTGTGTGTGTGTGTGTGTGTGTGTGTGTGTGTGTGTGTGTGTGTGTGTGAAAGTATCAGTTTATTCTTACAGGCATGAA